GAGGAGGAGGAGGAGGAGGAGGAGGAGGAGAGTTTTCATCAGGCGCGGCGCCAAGCGTGCAAGCACAGCTAGGCGGCTCGGGCGTGAGCCCGACCGAAAAGAAAGGGCCCGATCACCTCCCCAATGGGGAATGCCAGCACGCGCAGCCAGGGGCCTACAAACCGTCCGCAACCTCATCCACGACAGCCAGGTCTCGGACCAGGCTGTCGAGGACGAAGTCCGCGAACGGCAGAGGCCTAACCTGGCCGCTGGCCAAGGGCAGGGGTAGACCAGTGCGCGGGTGTTTGCCCTCCCACAGGCGACCCAGGCGGGGCCGCGTCTGCGGGGGCACCACCCCGAGGCAAGGCTTCGCGAGGAGCTGAGCGTTCTCGCTCGAGTGGGCTCCGCACCTCGCGCAGAAAAGGAAAGGGCCCACGCGCCACACGCGGTGGCCACCGCCTGGGCTACATGCCGCAGGCGCGTAGCCATCTCGCGTCCTGGCGACGCGGAAACAGCGGCAACAGGAAGCCCCTGCCGCGCGGCGCAGGTTCGTGCGTGCCAACGGGCAGCACCACGTCTGCCGTTAGCGCGGGGACTGTCCCCCCTGCGCCGTGCACGTCGCAGGTGGCCGTGCCGCGGCGCATCCTGCTGGCTGGGGTCCGCTGAGCGCAGCACCCGAGAAAACTTGGCGACGAGAGTCACCAAATGGAAGGAGCGTCTGACCCGTTCCACCGCGACACTGTCCGCGGGGTGGAGGGACGCCCCGTGCCGAGCGCCGAGGTCAGCGTAGCGGTTCCCCCAGCGCTTGGCCAGGCCACGCTCGACAGCACCGTCGTGGCAGCGTCGAGCGTGGCCCTTGACCTTCACAATTGTGACGTCGCCCCCTAGGCCGTCGACGCGATCCCAGATGCGAGTCCAGAGGTCGGCTGCCTCGCACTGGGCTCCAATATTTTCGGCGCGTCCGCGATCGAAACTGGAAACCACCCAGGCGCAATCCGAGAGGAAGCAATAGGGCCCCAGGGCCACGTGCGTCAAATACATGAGGAGGGCGAAGGCCCCAGCGAGGTCTGACGCCTGGTGTGGCCCTGGGAGCGGGCCGCGCAGGGAGGCAGTCAGGTATCCTTGCCCGTCCACCTGGACTACCGACCAGCCCGCCCTATTGAGTCGGGAGTCTCCCTGTGCAGGCGTGGTGCAGGAACCGCCGCCGAAGGCCTCGCCTTCGATGCTACCAGGGCAAGGCCGCTTGAGCCACTGGACGAGGAGGGAAGACTCAGGGCTAGGAACCGAAGGGCGAGGATCGGGGACCAGGGCATGCCTTCAGAGGGCCCAGGTCGAGCGTTCCCCGAAGTCCTGCCGCAGGGGGGGGAGGTCATGCGCGCGAACCAAGGCCCACGTCACTGGGCACTGGCCTGTCACCCAGGCCGAAGGTCCCTGGGCAGGATTCGATGCTACACAACGGGCACGTGCGACTGCACGAGAGGCCGTCGTGAAACTTGCGGGCCTGATCCCAAATACCACTCGAGACTATCGCGCGCAGAATCGCCTGGTGCCGAACCGCCCAGTCGGGGCCCGTCCTACCGATGCAGAGGCGGCGGAGGGGGGCCAAGTAGGGGCGGGCGGGGGGACCAGACATGCACTCGGAACTCTGCTGGGCTCGATCCAGCAGCCAGTCCTCGGTGCTCAAACGCGCGAGGTGCAGGGCGGATCTCGGGCAAGCCGCGGTGAGATCAACCTTGAAGCCCTCGCTGGTCTCTAACGTGCAGACCCCAGGGCTCAGCTTCCAGCCGATGCGTCTACAGCTAGCCAGGGCCGCTGAAATCGGGCCGGCGCACAAGGACCCACTCACTTTGTACACCGGTGGGCCGAGCCAAAGTGGTATCGGATGCAAACAAAACTCGGGCAATCCATCCCCGAGGCAGCCAGGGCCCCCAGACGGCCTGGGCGAGCAAGTGGATCGGACTCACACTGCAAGCGCACGCAGGGTCGACCGACCTCGGTGCCGAGGGAGTGAGGTGGAGGTCGAGGGTGAGGGAGCGACGAGCCATCCGAACGAAGAGGGATGCATGCGCAGCTCGGCGCATCGGCTCGATCCCAGTCCACGCCCTCCCAGTCAACCCGTCCCCCCAAGTACCAGCGGGCGCGAGACCGAGAGAGACGAGTTGCTGCGTTTTGCCTCTAGCGGAGCGCAGCACTCGGATGCGAGCCGAGCGCCTGCTCACGGTGGCCACGCGCTTGCTCCGCGTGGCCCCGCCAGGCCGCCGTCCGCAGCCGTAGTCCACGCCCAGGTTCCTCGCAGACCTGCGGCCCCTGCTTCGGAGCGCCGCGCAGCGCCTCTGGACCTCGCGGCTGGATTCGGCCGAGTTGGCCAGGACCGCGCCCTTGCCGTCGTTCATGGCGAGGCCGTCCGCCAGGAGCCCGCTGCGGAGCTGCTGGTTGGCGCCGCTGACCTGCGCGGCCACGCGCCTTGCCCGCCTGGGCCAGCTGGATGTCGTCGACGACGTTCACCGTGCCCAGCTCCAAGATCGCGTCCGGCCTCGGCAACAGGAACATGCGCGTGCACAGGTCCGCGAAGCTGCGCCCTGCCACGACGCCGCGCTGGGGTGCACAAGCTTCGGTCGCCACCCCTTTGTAGCAGACGATGCGCGGCGTCGCGTACATCTGGAGCAGGAGGCGCAGCAGGTGTAGGTTGAAGCCGAACGCCTCAGCCCGCTTGGCCATTAACGCCCACGGGATGTGCTCGTAGGCCTTCGACAGGTCCATGAGCACGGCGCAGGCTGCCTGGCCGCGGTGGGTCGCCACCTCAGCCGTGGCGGCCTGGATCCGCGCGCAGGTCTCGCAGCTCAGACCTGCCGTGCCGTAGATGTAGCCCCGACGGTGGAGCGAGGCCCAGCTGGGGCCAGTGGTGTTCCTCGTCCACCGAGTGTAGGGCCGTAGGACTCCTGGAACCAGCCCGATGGTGCGAACCCCGCCCTCGGGCTTGGGCAGGAGGACCATCTGCGTCGCCGCCAGGGCCTTCGGCACATGCCCGAGCTCCAAAATGCGACGCCAGAGCTCGACGCAGGCCTCGAGCGCCTCGTCGCACAGCACGGTCACGTGCAGCGGGTGGACAGCGTCGCAGCCTAAGCCCGTGAGGCGAGGAAAGGAATGCCCGACCTGGCGCAGCTCCTCGACGCTCGGTAGTCGAGGGAGGTCGCCCAGATCCAATGGCCGGGTGACCGCAGCACGCCCTCCACCTTCGCCCCACAGCGCGTGCCACGTGCGCGCCGCCGCCTCTGCCACCAGCTGCGCTGACAGGAAGCCCGCAGAAGGCTGCCAGCAGTCGGCCGCCCATGGCGCCGCCTCGCGGATCCAGCGGAAGCCCTTCCGCATGCCGTCTCCGACGGTGGCCTCGCGAGACCAATCCAGCCAGGCCTTGTAGCGGCGGTATGCCGAGCAGCCCTCAGCGGCGCCCGCCGCCCGCTGGATGTCGCCCAGGAGCGCGCCCACTGCGGGCTGCTCCAGGAAGTCCAGCCTGCGGACCAGGCGGCGCCACGACTGCCAGAGCGTAGGGTCCGCGCCTGCCACGGGTGGTACGTAGCGGAGCAGCTTCACCTGGATGCACCTGGCGTGTTGGTGGCTGTCTGTCTGTCCAAGGACACGCCACTCGCGCACCCGCTCGGCAAGCCAACTCCGGTGCTGCTCAGCGGGGGCCGCCGTCGCAGCGGGTGGCCACTGCTGCCGCTGGCGGTGGAACTGCGCCCTGACCAGGCGCCCTCCTTCGCTCCTGCCACGGTAGCGGTCCGCCCCGCGGCCCTCTGCCAAGCCGAAGTGCTGGACCAGCTCATCCTCGCATCGGTCCAGGACGCGCCCGCAGGCTGCATCCAAGCAAGCCGCCGCCGTGACCGTCCGCAGGTCGGCAACCGCGTCCTGCCATCCTGGCGGGGGCAGCTCAGCCACTTGGCAGGGAAAGGCTGCGGGCGGTGCAGGCGGGGGACCGCGGCACCAGGGGGGGGTGTGGCCAAGCGGAGCACCACCGCCCTGTGGGCGCGGACCGCGAAGCGGTCGCACCGTCGCACGGCCTGGGCCTCCGCGAGCTGGTCGACGCAGAAAAAACCGATCTCCCGCGCAGAAGTGGCCGTGGCGCAGGTGGCGTGGCTGGAGCATGCCAGTTTCGCCGCAATGGACGGCAGCAGCTGCGCCTCCTCCAGCACGGTGGGCGTCATGTTCCAGTCGGCCCCCACGACGAAGAACCGTCGCATGGCCCGCGCCACCGAGCCCAAGTTGGTCAGCAAGTCCAGGTTGAGGTCGCTGAGGTCCTGACTGGCGTGGAGGTACGCGGACGCCATCAGCGCGCCCTCGCGGCCACCCACGGACGTCATCCAGAAGCCGAGGCGGGCGGAGCAGCGGGTCGCGATGCGGTCGTTAGCGAACCCGACCCGCTGGAGGTGCACCCAAAGACGGACCAGGATGCCCACGCCAGCCGAGTTGCCGCCCTTCCCCGTGGCCACCGCAGGGATGAGATCAGCGGTCCAGCCCGCGTGGCGAGCAGCGCGAACAGCCGCAGCAAGCTGGTGCTCCTCCTTCAGGTGGCGCTCCTGGAGGAGGACTACCTGGGCGGAGCTGTCGACGCTGTCCTCCTCCAGCTGCGTGGGGCATCAGGGCCAATGTGTCGCGCTCGCGGTCATGACCTCTATGCTGGCGCCCTGGCGCCGCTTGGCGCGCCTCGGGCGGGGCCCTCGGGCACCCTGGGGGGCCCGCGCGCCGCAGGGCTGCGCCCCGGCCCCAGCATCCGAAGCTGCCGCGCAGCAGGCGCCGTGGCAGCCCAGCCCGAGCGCCCCCCGACGGGGGGCCCGCGTGCCGCAGGGCCGCGCCCCAGCCTCCCAGCCATGGCCAGCGCCGCGCCCGCCACCAGCGCCAGGAGCAGCAGGTGCCTCTGGCTGAGGAGCGGCGCGAGGTGGAGGAACCAATCCGGGGGGGGGGGGGGGGGCTGACGTCGAGCAGACCTCGCCGAAGAGCTCCGCGACGCCCCAAGGGAATGTCCACTTGGCCCGTGCTCGTCGAAGTCGCCGCGCGCGGCGTGGCGGCGGGCCCGCGCGCCGCAGGGCCGCCCCCCCCGCCGCGCTGCCGGCGCCGCCCCCCGCATGCAGCATCATGCGCAACGCGAGCCTCTGGCCGACGGGGGGCGCGAGGTGGCGCGGAGAGCTCATCGCACGGCTCCGATGACTTCGCCTCGGCGAGAGCCGCTTTGGGGCGGGGGCTTCGCGAGTTCCTTTCGGAGCGCCCGCCGTGGCCCCTGCCCCTCGCGGATCGACCCCCGGCTCGGCCGCCGCCGGCGCCACGAGCTCCTCAAGCCTCTGGCCGAGGATCCAGTCCAGGGCGGGGCCGACGGCAAGCCGACCTCGTCGAGGAACTCCGCGGCGCACCCGAGGGCGCATCTGGCGCGTAGCCGTCGCAGCCAGCGCGCGCGCCGCGGCGGGGGGCCCGCGAGCCGCGGGGCCGCGCCCCAGCCAACCAGCCAGCGCCAGCGCCGAGCTCGCCAACAGCGCCAGGGGCACCCCGTGCCTCTGGTTGGGGAGCGGCGCGGGGTGGAGGAACCAATCCATGGTGAGGTCGAAGACGAGCGGGCCTCGCCGTAGGACACCGTGGCGCACCAAGGGGGCGATCCCCTTGACCCGTGCCCGTCACAATGGTCTTGCACGTGGCTGGGGGCCCGCGCGCAGCTGGGCCGCTCCCCTGCTGCGCCGCCGGCGCCGCCCCAGCGCGCAGCGCCCCGTGCATCGCGAACCTCTGGCCGACGAGGGTCGCAGGGCGGAAGGGCGAGCCCGTCGCGCGGCACCGACGGCCTCGCCTCGGCGAGGGCCGCTTTGGGGCGGGGGCTTCGCGAGTTCCTTTCGGAGCTCCCGCTGCTATGGCCCCTGCCCCTCATGGATCGGCCCTCGGCTCCGTCGCCACCGGCGCCGCGTGCCCCCCGAGCCTCGGGCCGAGGAAGGCCGCGGGCGAGAGGGGCCAGTCCAGGCAGCGCCCGACGCAGAGCATAACTGGCCGTCGTGCCACGCGTCGCCCCTGAGGTCGAAGTGCATGGCCCGCGCCCGCTTCGTCGGCCACCCCCGTTGACGAGATTGGGGGCGGCCCCGCGGGGGGGCAAGCCTCGAGAGGATGGGGCCTGACCAGTGGCTGCAGCCCATCTCGGGAGCTGGGGGCGGGCATGCCCGCAGGTGCCGCCGGAGCTGGAGACGTCGCCGTCGTCGTAGCAATCGCCGTTATAGTCGCTGCCGTCGCAGCGCCAGGTGGGCCCATGCCAACGGTCGATGGTGTTTGACATGCAATCGGGGTCAGCACCGCACGCGAGGTCGGCATCCTTGAACTTGTACTCCCTGGCCGAATACATGTAGTCCAGAACCCGCAGGATGCGACCACGATCATGCGCTGCGCCCCGCCCACGCAGGCGCCCCCGCCGAGTGCGCCTGCGCCACTGGGCGCCGCGTCCGAGGGCCGCCTCAAAACCGTCGGAACCCTGGCCCGCCGTAGTCGAGCCCATGGCAAAGGCTCGATTGGTCCTCGTCGTCGCCCACAGGGGCCGATGCAGCCTTGCTGGGGCCGCCGCCGCCCCTGGCCGCGCCGCCGCGGCCGCCCCTGGGTGTGCGCCCCTTGCCAGCTGCAGCCTTGCTGGCCGCGGCGGCAGCCAGGCGCTGGCGGCCCGCCTCCAGCACATCCACAGCCGCAGCCCCCGCGCCTGTGGCCCCCGCGGGGGCGGCAGAGGCAGTTGTAGCCGCCTGCGAGGCCTGGGAAAGGGGCCTCCTGCTGGCCGCCAGCGGCAGCTGCGGCGGCAGGAGGCGCGGCAGCGGGGGCCGCAGCCGCTGCCACAGGCGCTGCAGCTCCCTCATATGCTGGCTGCCCCGCTGCAGGTGCGGTCTCCTGCTGCGGGGGGGGCGTGGGGCGCCTCTTCTTGGACTTGAGGCGCTCTCGCAACTCGCGGTGCGCCTTGCCCAACGTCTCCGCCTCGGCCTTGAACTGGCCGAACGCCTCCTGCGCCATGGCCACGAATCGCGCCTGCAGCTCCTCGCGGCGCCTCTGGGCCTCCAGGCAGTCGTTCTCCTCGATCTCGTAGTCCCCCAGGGACTCCAGGCCGAAGAGCCCCTCATCATCCAGCGCCAAAGCGGCCCTGCCAGCGAGGATCGGCGTGACGCTGAGCTCGGGCACCACATCCTCGCGCCCAAGCGCCGCTGCTGGGGCCACCGTGCCCGCCAGGGCCTGTGCGGCGCTGGTGTACACCGCGTGCGCACTGTCCAGGGCGGCAGTGCCCTTGGCCACGCGCCCCGTGGCCGAACCCAGGCGCAGCTGGAGCTCCCGCGCCTCCGCCATTGCGTCGTCCAGGGCCGCCGCGGCAGCGTCCCTGGCAAAGGCCGCGAGCAGCAGCAGCCCCCGCAGACACCAGCTGCAACGAGCGTCTCCAATGGCAGCACCACGTCCACCACGACTCATGCTTGCGGCACCCGCAATGCGCGCGCGCAGGGGCGCGGTCGCTGATGGCATCCGCGGTCGCCATGCCGCCGCCGTCGACGCCCGCCTGGAGCGCGGGGGACGGCGCCGCCGAGCCGTAGTGGCCGTCCAGGAGCGCCGCGGCGGCCTCCAGGCGCCCGCGCTGGCGGGGGGGAAGGCGTGCCCCGCCGCGCGTGCAGTAGCGCCCTGGCCGCGGCGCGCTCGCGGTGGAGGCGCCGATGCCACGCCGCCCGCGCGGGCAGCGCGATGATCCCCGCCCGAGGGGAGCCCGAGGAGGAGGAGGAGGAGGAGGAGGATGAGGAGGAGAGGAAGAGGAGGAGGAGAAAGAGGAGGAGGGGGAGGAGGAGGAGGGAGGAGGAGAGAGAGAGGAGGAGGAGGAGAAGAGGAGGAGGAGGAGAGAGAGGGAGGAGGAGGAGGAGGAGGAGGAGGAGGAGGAGGAGTAGGAGGAGGGGAGGAGGAGGAGGAGGGAGGAGGGAGAGGAGGAGGAGGAGGAGGAGGAGGGGAGGGAGGTGGAGGAGGAGAAGGGGAAGAAAAAGGAGGAAGAGAGACGAAGATGGGATGAGGATCAGGAGGAGGAGGGGGAGGAGGATGAAGAGGAGGAGGAGGAAGAAGAGAGGAGGAGGAGGAGGAGGGGGAGGAGGATAGGAGTTAGGAGCGCGAGGAGAAAGCGGCGGAGGAGGAGGAAGGAGGAGGAGGAGGAGGAGGAGGAGGAGGAGGAGGAGGAGGAGGAGGAGGAGGAGGAGGAGGAGGACTCTTTGACTCTTTGATAGCGGACGCTGTCCTGGGGGCGATTTAATCACTGGAATCGCTTCCATCCCCAGCCCGCACGGGCTGGGGTTCCTGGGCCTGGCCAGGCCTGGAGGGAGCCGCGCGGTCCAATAACCCCGCTCCCGTCTGAGCCCCCGAAGGCCCAGCAGCCTGGCCAGCCAGGTCGGATCCTGGGTTTTCCGATTGCGGACTCCTGAGCATGGCCGCCACGTCCGCGCAGGCGGCTTCTTCACGAGCCCTAATGGCCTCTAAAATTGCCCTCGGGGGGCCTTCACGACGCGGGAACAAACCTTTGCTTATCCTCGCTAGGTTCTCCGAACCTTTGTTGGTCCGTCCGTCGCATCTGCCAACTAAATTCCTGGGGTCCACGGTGCAATAAGAACCGCACTCCGAACAAATGTGAAGGAACCATTTCTCCACATACTGGAGCCTGTGAGAGGGGTGAACCTTTTCCAGGAAGCCGCTCCCTCGGGCTGAGGGGGCGACCCTCTCTCCAACAGCGGCCTGGGAGCCTCTCCTGACTTCGGCAGGAGGCCCTGAACATGTCGCGGCCGCAAAGACCCGCGTTTGGTAGCGGGGAACAACTCTCTCACAGACCGTGCACCACCAGTATTTCATGCTGCGACCACATGGCTCGAGGATGTGGTCCGAGGCGTGTGCCGCAGCCACCAACTTGGACGGTCTCGACTCCTTCTTCAAAGGGGGTCTCTCCGCCCGAGTGTTTTCCTCGGCCTCCGCTGCACGCGCCAGGGCACGTCTGGCCCTTCGACGAATCAACGAAGCTGTGGCATCAATTTTGTCCGTCTCCGGCCCCCGCCCCACCGGCCCCCTCCACGCCAACTCCGCCGCCTCCCCCGCCCACGAATCAGCACAGGCGTTGCCGGAGGCATAAAAGAGTTTCTCGAGCGTGTCTAACTTCTCTGGGGCCTCCTCTTGGTGGGAGGGGAACCAAACAACTTCCACATCAAGATTCCTCCTGGCCTGGAAGGCAATGCGGGCCCTGGTCCAGAGGTCTTCGTTGGCACCCACAGGGCTGGGCCTTCGAAAGCGGGCCCTCCAGGTCCTGGAGATCGTCTTGTGATCTGTCACAAATGTGAAACCCAGCTCTGACTCTACTTGCTCTAACGCCAGGCAGAATGCTAAAACTTCGGCTCGGGGGACCGTTTGCTTTTCTCCGAGCAGAGGAACCCCGAGAGCCTCCCCCAAGGTCCACCCGCCTCCCGAATCAATCACGAGCCCCACGATCGCTGCTCCGCAGCGTCTCCGTCTGGGGTCGTCAGAATATTTGCCCCCCGAGCCGTCACCGAAAACGTGAACTCTGCCTGACTCCGTGCATTCGGCGAAGCCGTGTGACTTAAAATCCAACTGCAGCTGGCCGAGGAGCGCTTCATCGAACTCAGGAGTGGTGAGCCCAACGGCTGGTACTCCCCGAAGCCAAAGAGCAGGCGACGCCTCGTGCTGCGCCGCCGCCTGTACCACAAGCGCCTCCGACTTCACGAAATCCTCGTGCCCCTTGTTCTGCTCACATTCCCAAATGCGGTGATACAAACTCTCTTCTTTGAGCTGGCAGCGCGGGCAAAGCTTGGAATCAATGAGGTATCCTTGTCTGGCGCGCCTCACTCGGGTCCATTGCCCACCTGTGGTGACTATCAGGTTGAGTGCCGCCAAACCTGAAGCTCCTTCATTGTGGAACTTGCGCTGCTCTGCCCTGATTCTCCATGCATCCGCACCTGGGAGCAGGTCAGCTCCATCCTCGTGCTTCGACGCCTGCTGCCAGTACAAATTGCGCATGTCGCTGACCACGTCTGCCAAGATGGCGAGTCTCTCCCAATCGTTCGTGTGCTCCGTGTCAGTGCCGCTGGGGATAAGCCAAGCCTGCAACTGTCCATCTGGTAGTGGTCTGTCCCACTCTGTCGCCTTGATGGGGTTCCAGCCTATGTCCATCAGCGTGGCCTGCAGCGTGGCGATCGGGCCTCTGACATAGGCCCACCTCCTCCGACCAGCCGTGATCAATCGCTGTCTGATCTTGGTCCAGGCTAACTTGACTCTCGCGTGGATCTGAGGATTCATCTGCCACATCGCCAGCCACTCGTGAACAACTCGTTTGCGCCATTCCAGACCTGGCTCCTTGTCCCACATCTCAATTGCAAGTGTTGTCGTCAGACATTTGCCTCCTTGAGAGCCTGCTGCGATCTGGCCCGCCTGTCTTCTTAGCTTCGTCAGCTCCGTCGTGGAAAGGCCGAGCGCTTGATATCCGTATGTGGCCTGGGGCAGGGCGCCCGTAGACCAGAGTCCTTTCGCTTCTTTTGCCAGGGTAGTGCTTTTCCTCAGCCTCTTGATCTTGGCGAACCGTCTCTTAGCTGCCAGCATTCGTCTCTTGAGTGTGCGAACAACTCGTTTACGCCCAGCAGAAGCGTCGAGGCCTAGGTCCTTCGTGTATGTTTTGGCCTTGGCGGGTGTACCGTTCTGCTGCAACCTCTTCGCCACGCTCTTGACCATGTCTCTGCTCGAGCCGAT